GTTCAAAAAAAAAAAAAAAAAAAAAAAGACCCTCTTGGCCAGAGCCTGTGGTTCCTGTCACTATTAGCTGGGGGTGGTCACAGCTCCTTTCAGTATATAAGCTCTGGGCCTGCACTCCAGGTCTTCTGACTCAGACTCAATTCTGAGCTTTTCTTTTTTTTTCTTTTCCTTTTTTTTTTTCTATAGGACATATGTGCTTGCTGGGGAGAGAGAGAGAGAGACAGAGACACTCAGGCGCGGTACATCTGTTTCTGGCTCATGATGGTCTAGGCTCCAGCCCCAAAGATTGGCACTTGTCAGGTTTCTGGGGCCTCCCCCTTCAGCCCTGGCCCTAGCTCCTGGCATGGCTGTCACCCGCAGCCTCCTGCTGGCTGTTCAGGGGCCCCTGCTCTTCTAAGCGCTCTCGTCAAACCCACCCACTGGCTCCGCAGGACCCTCCCTCACCCCGCAGTCCAACCCTCAGTGCCCGTTCCTGTCCTGCAGGGGCCCAGGGCATCGTCAACAGTGGCCTGATCACTTCGCTGGTGTGGAAGCTGCAGAAGGAGGACGAGAAGGTCCAGGAGCTCATCCTGGACACGCTGGCCCCCTGCCTGCAGGAGGACGCCACCGAGGCACTGAGCACCCACGTGGTGCCCTTCCTCAAGCAGAAGCTGCTCAGCGCCAATGATAACATCCGCAGCAAGGCCGCCCGTACGCTCATCGCGGTCAGGTGAGACCCCCTCCGGCTTCTGCCGAGGTTCAGCAAAGGCTACTGAGCTGCCGCTGGCCCCGCACCAGGTCAGTGGTGGCCCTGGCAGCGTCAGCAAGCTCGACCTGCATGAGAGCCCAAGGGGCCTCTCTGGGACTATGTCCCCTCATCTGCTAGTGCCCCTGGGGGAGGAGGGAACTAGGAAAGAAGAGGACATTCTCCACTAGGGTGATCACAATCCCTTTGGCCTGTGAGTATCCTGTATCCCAGGAAACCCCCACTGTCCTGGACAGCACCAGACAGCTGGTCAACCCCTCTCCAAGAGGAAGGCAAGCACAGGGGAACCAGCAGTGGTCACAGTGATACTCAGTGGTCACTAAGTGCTTACTGTGTCCTGGGCGTCTACCAGTCCTCCAAGGGTGGTGATCCCTGGCCTTACAGACGAGGAACCTGAGGCATGGGTGTCTAGTTGACTTGCCCAACATCCCGTAGGCTCACACTCTACATTCCAGCCTGGAAACTGAGGAAGCATGAAGCCTCTGAGCCCGGAAGGCGGGAGGCAGTGCATATTCCCATGTGGCTCTGAAGAGGAGCCCCTGCAGGCTCCACCTTCGCTGGGCTGCATCCCCTTCACTGGGATCCCTCTTGTCTTCCAGAAGTCACAGCTTTGCTTCTGTCTTGGCTTCTGGCTAGAGGCTGGTGCCTGTATTTCTCTAAGGATGGCCCTTGAGAGGCCTGTTAGGATGCAGATTCCTGGGACCAGCAGATGGCATAATGGTTACATCATTGCTGGACTCCCACATGACTGACCATGGTTCGATTCCTGGATCCGGAGGCTTAAAACTCACACTGGGCACATGTGCATGCATTCCCAAAATCCCAAGAGGAGAATGAAGCAGAAGGGATTGCTGCATGGCCATCCCCCTGGGGGGGTGGGGGGGGAAGGTTGATTTCTTGCTTTCTGTCTGTTTCTCTAGTGAGCACATAAACCCTATAAGAAAAATCTCTTTAAATATAAATAAAACAAAATAAAATAAAAGTGCAGATTCCCAAGCTCCAGGTCAGCCCCATCACCGTTCAGGTCTTTGCTCTGTGATCCCTCCCCTTCCAGGGAGGCTTTCCAGGAGGGAATGGTGCTTGTCAACCTGCAGCCTCCCCAGCCGGCCCCACCTCCCTGCTTGTCACCCTCCCTACTGTTTTGTATGTCACCCATGAGGTGAGATCCTTGAGGACAGGGTGTTGCTCTGGAAGCTTTTCTCCAACCCCCACCTCGGTGGAGAACGCTCTGGCCCAGAACACCAACAGCACGGAGGTGGAGAAGTCCAGCTTTCACCCAGGGTCTGGACCGGAGCTGGGCACGTGTCAGGTGCACGGTTGAGTCTCGCTACGGGAGTGAATCCAGGAAATCCCTGCAGGTGAGACTCAGGACTCTGCCTCTGTGATCCAGTCCTCAGGGCAGAGAGCCACTGCCCTGAAATCCCAGCCCAACGACATCACAGCTAGTAGCTAGCCAGCCCCGGGTCCCAGACGGCGTGCCCACAGAACACTCGTGTCTTTTTTTTCTTTCTTTCTTTTTGGAGAAGATTTTGCTGTAGGGTGTGTGCGCTCACCAGAAAGACAGAGAGAGACAGAGAGACAGAAAGTGAGAAATCACCCCCCAGGGGGATGGCCACGCCGCAATCCCTTCTCCTTTACTCTCCTCTCAGGATCTTGGGCATGCATGCACACGCGCCCGGTGTGAGTTTAAGCCACTGGGTCCGGGACTCGAACCGTGGTCGACTACATGGGAGTCCAGCGACATAGCCATTATGCTAACTGCTGCTCCCAACACTTGTGTCTTTGAAGCATTACTGAGAGTTCTACAGAAAGGAGCATCCTGCTGCAGTGGTGCTTACTGCCAAGATGCTGTGTTCTCCAGGCTGGGGCCACACGGAGGGCCTGGGTGTCATTCCCCGTCCAGCCTAAAGGCTGGGTATAGCGGCATGTGCCTATAATCCCGGTGACTCAGGATGCCGAGGCAAGGGGATCATGAACTTGAGGCCAGCCTGGGCAACATGACAAACCCATCCAAAAAGGAGCTGGGTATGGTGGTGCAGGCCTGCGGTGCCAGCTGGAAGACTGGAACAGGAGGACAGCTGCATAGCTAGACCTTCCCTTAGAAAAAGAAACAAAGAGGACCAGTAGATGGCGTAATGAGTATGTCGCTGGACTCCCACGTAGTCAATTGCGGTTTAAGTACTGGACTCTGTGGCTTAAACTTACGCCAGGCATACGTGCGTGCATGCCCAAAATCCTGAGAGCAGAGTGGAGGAGGGATTGCCATGCCACCTGGGAGGGGTGATTTCTAGCTTTCTGTCTCTCTGGCGAGCGCACATGCCCTATATAAAAAAAAATCTCTTAAAAAAAAAGAAAGGGAACAAGCAGTTAGTGTAATGGCTATGTCGCTGGACTCCCACATAGTCGACCGCGGTTCGCGTCCCGGACCTGGTGGCTTAAAACTCACGCTGGGCGTGTGTACGTGCGTGCCCAAGATCTCAAGAGGAGAATGGAGGAGAAGGGATTGCGGCGTGACCGTCCCCCCTGGGGGGTGATTTCTCGCTTTCTGTCTCTATGTCTCTCTCTGTCTGTCTGGCGAGCGCACGTGCCCTATAGCGAAAACCTCTCAAAACAAAAAATAAAATAAAATAAAAAATTAAAGAAAAGAAAAAGAGTTCTATTAAAAATGAGGGTTCTGGGCCTAGCAGTTGTGGCACACACAAGTGCCCTGCAAGACTGGAAGCCATATGGCCACTGTGGACTCGGATCCCCAGGTGGGCCTGAAAGTGCTCTGAGTGTGCGTGTGGGCGAACAGGATCCCAAGGAGCTGGAGGGCCAGGATAAGTGGATGGCAGCGTGACAAGACCCTGGTGAGGGTGTCGCTCTAATGAACGCATGCACTTGTCCTAGCGATATCAGAATAATGAAAGAATGAGGACTCTGTGGGTGGGTAAGTTCAGGAAAGGTTCATTAAACTAAGTGCCCGGGTCTTTGCTGCAGGCTGTGTGCCTTCCTGCTCCTGTGTGCCTGGGGGGTGGTGCATCTGGCTCTGCAGCCCTTCTCTTTTGGGGGACAGCGCTGGGCGTGTCACATTTGGGAAACTCCTGGGGAGTCCACCACCCTCTCGTTCACAATTTCATACAGTGCTAGTACGAGGAGTGACCTAAGTCACTGGTTTGAGCCCCACCGCAGTGGCCCAGCATCCGGCAGCCTACCCACCAGGGCTAGTCCCGGCACAAGTGGTTTCCTTTTGTGTCCCCCTGGGATGGTCCTGGGCCTTGCCCCCATCTCCCACTGTCAACCAAGCCCCTTCTGTCCCCCTCTATCCCAGCATCCCTCTTGAGGGCAAGAACCAGATATGGCAGCATGATGTCATCCCCATCCTGGTGCACCTGCTGACGGACAAGGTGGAGGAGGTGCAGGCCAACGCTGCCGGGGCCCTGATGTACGCCGCGGTGACCACAGAAGGTGAGCTGGGGTGGCCAGCCCAGGATTCACTGCCAGCTGGGCAGGTCCAGGTGGGTGGGGGCGATGAGTTTCCAGCATGCCAGGGAACTTTCTAGAACTCATCCTACTCTTGCTCAGGGGCCTGGAATTGCCTCCTGAGCTCCCCTGCTCTTTCCAGATCCGTTTAGTCACCCAAATCCTTTTAAAGTTTGGTCCAACGCTCAACCTTCCCTCTTCTTCCTGGGTCGCTGGTGGCTCCTCACCGGTGGCTCATATAAAGACCTCTGGGACTTCACACATACCCAGGCTGTTCCCTGGGCCTGGACTTTCTGCCTTCAGGCCCCTGTGAGCCATGAATCTGGGATGTGAGTACAGCTGCTGTACTCCAAAGTAAGCAAGGTGTGTCTCAGCGCCACAAAGGCCCTCACCATGCTGGCTGTGGTCCCCAGGGCCGTGAGTTGGCCATCCGCAACTCTTTTATCTGGGGGTCTGAGCAAACCCTGGAGCCCTTGTCTCTGTGGTGTTTCTTTTTTTTTTTTTTTCTTTTCTTTTATTTTTTTTTTTCTT